GCTGTTTGTGGTTGCAAAGCCTTAAAAAATGCAGTGTCAAAATTGATTTGCCAAATTTTGTTCTGGTGATTTGTCATTCAAAGATGAAAAACGCTCTGATCGTCCTGTTGCTGTTAATTAAATAGAAATTGTCTAATTTGAGCAGTTATCACCAACCGAATAATCAATTAAACAATGAAGTAGCAAAACAGCGGCCTAAATTGGAAAATCGAAACGGCGATTTATTCGTTTATTAACATATATTTGGTCACTAGGCAAAAGTTATGGAGTTTGTTTGGACAGTTTTGCCACGTCCTAACCTTACACCATTTAATTAACTTCCCGTAGGGTAAATTATTATAATGGGCCGAAAATCGAAATTGAAAATTTTTACATTTCTCGACATTTTGAAGGTTTCTGAACATTTTGGCATACCTCAGAAAAAATGGATGTGTGTGTGTGTATGTATGTATGGATACAATTTTTCGTCCACGTTTTCGGGCGCACGGATCAACCGATTTGAATGGTTCAAAAAACATTCGATTCCTATTAATAGGGAGATGTGCTGATTAGTTTTTGGCAAAGGCAGGTCCAGCCGTTACGGAGATACGGAGCAAAGAGCGCAGAAAATAGAAATCGAGTTTTTGAGTGAACGGAACATTCGATTAGAATGATCTAAAAAACATACAATTAGTAATAATTGGGAGAAGTGATTATTAGTTTTTGGCAATGGCAGGCTCAGCCATTTCGAAGATACAGAGCTAAATGTGCAAAAAAATGGCAGTTTTTGAGAGAATTAAGCGTCGAATTTAAATGATTCAAAGAACTTTCAGCTTGTTTTAACAAAATAATTGATTTTGGAAAAAAAATTGTATATATATATATTTAGTTTTTTTATATATCGAAAATAAATCAGATTTTATTTTTAATTCTGACTAAAGTTCTAATATACTTTAAACAAATAATTTTAACTTTGCAATTCAGTTTATATAATTCTTATGAATATTAGACAATGTTACAATATTTATAATAATCTATTTGAAAACATTCAGTATTCAACATAAATTCAGTATTCCTCGAACATTTCGTTACGGTACGGGAAGTACCAGCAATTTGCCTTAAGGCACGATTCCATACACCCCACTAGTTACTTTTTGTTTCGATCTTTACAGAACTTCTTGAATTTAAAAAAAATCAATAATGATGATGGTGTTAAATTGTACCTGACTTAGTTTTTTGCTAATAAAAACCAGAAGTTTTATAAAAGTGAAACGATGATGATGCTTGAAAGATGAGAAAATGTCATTGACCAAAATGGACAATGCATTTCAGAACTAAGTTATTTCAGTTACATGAAAAAAAATGTCTTTGATTTTCAAATAAAAATCCACACTTTCTTAGTTGCCAACCTAATAGATCACCTTTTATTCGAAATATTTCCAGAGCTAGATTTTTTTTTATCAAGATTGATGATTAAACCCTCCAAAAAATAAAATGAATGATTTTTATTAAAACACTTTGAAAACATAATACAGTAACAAAAGTATAAACGTTACAAATGACTTTCTATTTCAAATATTTCTAAAGCATAATTAGCAATGTCTTTCACTACAATAAATACTTGAATATATGTTAAATCTAATATATTATTTTCAATACGAAAAAAGGAAGTCAGGAAGTAAAATAACTCCACCGATTCAGGTAAATTTAGAAGCGATTTGGTGAAACTCTGTAAGGACACGCGTTGATTCCGTTCAAATATGCAAATAAATACGAACTTTTTGGTCTATCTATCTAAAAATTTTAAATCAATTTGGACAATTCAAAAAATGTTTAAAAAATATCAGTTGGGAATCGTGACGATTAGTTTGTGGTGAAGATCGGTAAGGAAGTTCCTTCGATATTGATCATTAAAATTTTATTGGCAGTTTTAATGAAACTTCCATAGTCCAACCTAAAATATTTTAAGCAAAAAGTATAAAAACTAATTGAAGTTCGGAATAATAAATTTTTGTGAACAAGGTTTGTAGTCATAATTTAAATAATGTCAAAATTGAATTTGGTGAATCTCAACTCTTATTGATTAAACATATCGAAATAAGATCGTTGAAACCAAATTTGTTGAAATATTAACACAATAATATTTTTAGTTTTAATTATTATTAACACAATAATCAATATCTATATAAGTGTGAAGAGCATTATGTCGTCAACAGCATTGCGATCAAATGCATTTATAACGTAAAGCCCTCAATACGATGAAGGATAAAGACCAATTGATTATATTTAAAATTCCACATGCGTTACAAAGGATCGTCATAGCAAAATGTGGAATGATTATAACACGGCGGGAATAAGAAATATTTCTAAGCCTTTTGAACAGCAGAAGCTCTATGAAACAGCAATAGCTCATTGAAAGCAATGAGACGAATATATAGCGATTTTAATGACTACAATTATATCTTTGAGATCAAAGAACACAATTTTCACAAAATCTTATACAAATATATTGTATTATAGCTAAATTCAGTTATCTTCTAAATGTTAAAGGTAAATCATATAAATATAAAGTTGTGGAATGAAATTTCTATATATAACACAAAATTTTACGTTTATAACGACTTATTTTTACTGCATATATTACAGCTTTATAATTAGGTTGTCAAATATCTCCCTTCCGCTTTTTTGCACTTGGTTTATAATACAAAAAGGCGGAAGGGAGATATTTGACAATCTAATAAATAAAAAAATATGTATTCAAATCATATTTCTGCTTTCTACTATTGTATATTTTTTACAATAAATTATCATGGAATAAAAATCATCACCTAAGAACGATCGACAGAAAATCATTCAAATACCAATCGACACAGGAATATCTCAATATAGAGATAAAGAAACAAATAGATTAGATAACACCTTCGCCGAACACATTCAATCATTTCCAAATAATTCTAGGATTGAAATAAAAGTTCAAAGTGACTTTGTTTAGTTTTAAAAATATAAAACTTAATTTTAGCTATTAGGTTACAAGTTGACAATGACAAAATCGCTTTTAATTAATTATATTCAATAAATTAATCTAAAAATTCAATTTAATGCAAACAAAATTAAAATATTTAAATATTAAGATTGTAATAATTATCGAGCATTACTTCCAGAATAATGCCTAAATCTACGTACTCACATTACAGACTGATAATCAACCGAACGTTAGAGCTTTAAAGCTCTACTTTGCAAAAATTCAGTACACTTATTGAACGTTATTATAAAATGTGCAAGTTGTATTAATTACATTTTCAAACTAGAGTTTTTATTAAAATTATAATAACATGTAACAAATAAGATATATTCGATACAAAGTTTAAATTTTAATAAAACATTTGAACTCAAATGTTTTTAATTATCATGAAATTAATTTTAACATTGCACATATTTATAATATTCGCATAAAAACCGTAGAAATTTTTGCACTAATTATAAGCATATAGATATACATATTTAAGTACTTACCTTGCTTGGCAAAATCGCGTGGAAAACTCAAATAAAAACGTGCAAGTACAATTAGGGAATTGGAATGAATTAAAGGATATACATTAGGGAACATTTAGTATATATTGAGTGACCATTTTCATGACATGAAATATATTTTTAGTTTTGTAAATATATTAATAAAAAAGTATACTACATATAGAAATATCCAATTGCTTGCAAATGCAATATAAACTATATAATATTGTATCCATAAAAATGATCACAAAAATCATGCGCTATTTTAAAAGTCTTTTCGAAAAAAATCCTATAAACCAATTTTCAACTTTGGCACATCATTTGAAAAAAAATTAAGATGATTCTATTCGAAGTGACTTTCTGGACAATATTATTCATATTAACTAATATTGAATTAATTTTTTGTTAACGTTTGCAAAAACAATTCTAACTAGACTCGGGTATGGCTTTTAGATCAATCAAACGTTATTTCTCAGAGGTTTTAAGTTGGTATTTTGGATTTTTTCGAAAAGATCTTTAATATCCCTATATAAATCCTTTAAACACAAAAGTAAAGCTACATTAGACTTAATTGTCAAAATGTGAAACATATAATCAACCGATAATATATTTGTCGTTAATATAAGAGTTTTTTAGTTTTTATAGTTTTGAAATATACAAAAACGTAAAAAATTAGTAATCAAATAAAAAAAACTAAAAACAAAAACTATACGATCACAAATATTAGCCGGATAAAATATTAAACAAAGAATATTTATCAAATCAAAGGCAAGTCAAATATATCATAACGGTGATATAAAAAAGTCTTTTAATAAGATTTTCTAAAATACTGCAATAAACGAAAATTATGTAAATTTTATATGCAATATTATTTAAAAATTTTAATATTGATAAATAAATAATTACGAAGTTTACAAAATGACTCAAAAATTAAAATGCAATTATGGGAACAGTAATAGAATACGTTTCAAAAAAACTTTTGAATAATATTACGCACCGGAACAAATATGTTATAATTAAAATTTTAATCACTTTTTGATTATTTTCTTTTAAGTTTTCATCGGAATCATTTTTCTCTTTAGCATTACAATTAAGTTTCGAGTCTATTCAAAATAACGATGACTAAAGTGACTATGACACTTACCTCGTTCTGAATAGTGTAGTACATGCCATCGCCATCCGTATTGTCACCCGTATTATCTTTCAAAGTCGCATCGCTGCCTCTATGTTTGCCCCCAGCGCCGCCTCGGCCGCCACCCTTCTGGAAAGTCATTTTCAAACCGCAACGAGAGCGCCTTTTATCACTTCCATTGGAACCAGCGGCACCTCCTCGATTTATTTTAATCACAGTCTTTAAAGTTCCCGTATAAGCAGAGCCACGATGTTGTTGACTCAATAATCTCTGTTCCTTCTGTTTTTTACGTTCCTGCTTAGCGGCGTCAGCTGCTTGCAGGGTTAGAAGGCCCAAAGCGTTCATCACGCTTTCTTTCTGCAATAAAGTTTCAGGGCTTTCGTCCATAAGAGATACCAATACAGGTGGCGGTGTTTCAGATTTTTTCATATCTATGTTTTTGACATCAGTGGTTTTGACATCTTCAGTCTTCTCATTAGGTCTCAAGTTTTCTTTCACTTCTTCTCTTTTGTCAGTAGGAGTTCTTCTTCAGCAACCAGAATGGGAGGCTGCAATTCTTCAATGACTTCTAATTTTTTAATATTCTCTCCTAAGCTTAAATTATCGCTTGTAACAGTAGATTGAAATAAATCTTGATCTGATTTTGCTTGAGATACTTGTGAAATGCTAGGCGTTAAGTTATCTTCCATGGAGATATCTCCAGGACCAAAGTCATCTAATCGTTCCACGTCTACATCACTTTCAGTATCAACGGTCTGAGATATTAGAATAGGCTCTTGAGATGAAGTCAACATAGGAGTTTGAACCAAGTCTTTAATTGTTTCAACATCTACACTGGTATTACTATCGTATGCTTTCGCTTCATCGATTTCCATAGACGCTTCAACTATGTCGGCGACAGTGTCATCTTTCAAGTTTTCGCTAACCAAATCAGAAGCAGTTGTTACTAAAGGCATTTCCTTATCTAAAACAGGTGCCTGGGTAATTATTTCACCTAAACTAGGATCACTTTCAATTCCAACATTGTTTTCCATAAACGCAGGTTGACCGTAAAACTGTTTTACGTGCATGGCCCTTTGTGTCGGATTTTCTGGAGCAGGCTCGGGACTGACAGAATCCGCTTTAATTAAAATAGGAGGAGAAGGATCAGCCAACAGCGACACTTCATCCAGTGGTATTTCCATCGGATTTATGACTAAATGTTCTTCCTCCTTAGGTTCGATTTTAATTTGTATAAGAGGTGGCGTAGGTGTGACAACACTCCTTCGTTGTCGGGTACTTCTCCTTACAAACTTCGCTGTGTCAATTACTTGAGCATCATTAGGGGTTTCAGTATTAAAATTTTGTGACATTTTGTCCAGAATTTTCAGTTTGTCGGGCATTTTGGAATCTGTATCTGCATTCGTATCATTATTATTTTCAACATTGGCAGTAATTTTATTTGGTGATTTTTGTACCAAGAACTGGTCACAAAAACTACTTGTATCTGTTGTGTCAGAGCATTTAGATAAAGAATCGGATCGTCTGCGTCGCCTAGAAACTTCAGAATCCGAAGATGGTGCTTCAATTTTAGCAGCTTGTTGAGGCAAAGACTTAACACCCGAAACTGGCTCTGCTACAGTAGCGCTCATTAACCTGGGTCGTCTTTTCTTAGCACTTGGACTGTCTGCTCTCGGCTTTCCATTACGCAACATCTTCGGTTTTGTGTCTTCGCCCGCGCTATGTCTCCTTTTCCTCCTATTAGCTCTTTTAACAGTTACACCCAAAGCAGTCTTACGTTTACCGATAACGATTGAATTTTTAACTAATCCCAATTTCTTTTTTGCGGGCCCTTTCTTTGCTACTTTTTTAGTCACTTTGGCGGTTTCATCATTTGGAGCTTCGTCGGCATTTATCTCTTCGGTAGAATTCTTTGCAGCAGTTTTTCCCTTTTTACCACCTGTCGTTGGAGATTCATCAGACACTGCAACATTGCCACTGCTTGCCTCTTCAGCAACATCATCTTCGGTGCTCTGAACTGATTCCATTTCAGATGCATTCGAAGTTTCGTCTGGGGGAACAGAGGAACTCACGGCAGTGCGTCTTTTGCGGCCACCAGTTTTCGGTGTAGTGGTCGGGGTCTCTGTAGATTTGGTGGATGGGGATTCACTTAGTTTCGGCTTCTTCTCCTTTCCAGCCATTTTGAACACGTTTTAAATTTTGAAAAGAGTTGGCGTGTGTGAGGGCACTCACACGTGGTAGCGGGCGGGCGCGATACGTATTCCTTGAAATAAAAATATTCAATATTAATGATTTTGTAATTTATGATATTTATTGTTATACATTTAAATATGTAACAAATTAGTGATGAAATTAAATAATTAATTTGAAATATTAACTTAATCAGACAGTATTTTCGAAGCGAGCTTCTAAAAAAATTTGTAAAAGTTGATAATTTATAGGCATAATTTTCATTTTAATTCAAATATGTTTTATTGAAGAATTACGATAAATTTACATATTACAGAGCAAAATCATTAATTTCATTCAATAAAAACAAATCAAATTATTACAAAACCGGAAGCATATACCGGAACAAAAGAGTATGCGCCATCAAATTTCCGATAAACCTACACCTGTCGAAATTTTACCGAAAATCCCGAACCGTTATCTGCAAGGGTTCTTTGTTTATTGCACATTATATAATCTAAACTTAGTAAAAAAAAGTATTTAGTTTACAGTCACTATTTCAAACAACATAAGCTAATGATAAATAATTAAGAAAAATCTCTACCGTACCGTAATTATAAAAATTTAATTCCATTTAGATGAAGTATAGTAACAACTAATAAATTGAATTTTAACCATTGAAAAAAATCGAACTACACCTTTAAAGAATGCTATCATTATGAATTAATTAAACAAATAGATTCAGTAATCACATATTTCTATCATCAAATTAAGCTCAGTTTGTGTGCCGATATCTTCGCATTCCATCATTAGAATGTGAAAAAATAATAAATATTTTTAAACAATCGGCTTGTCAAGAATAATATAGATAATCTTTGTGGCAGAAAAAATTATATGCTATATGTGTATTTAATTAAAAAATATATTTTGTAATAGTTATTAATATAACTTTTGAATAATTTTCTTATACATTTATATTACTAATTCGTGTTAAATATGAATTTTAATCTTTAACACTTCGTGTGTAAATTTATAAATGTCTAACTCAAATGCAGTATTATCAAGATTGTTATTATCAAATGCTTCCGGCGTCTTTCTTTGTTCTAATATGTAAACGAAACAAATAAGCCACATTATTATTTGTATGTGGATATAACTATATTAGACTATAGAACTAGTTATAAAACTTGTAACTATTATTAGTTATATTGACGTATATAAATCCTTCATTTTTTATTTTTATTAAATTGTTGCTATCAATAAATGAATTTATTTTATTATTGATTTTAGCACTTGTTATATTTCTTGAGTTTTGAATTTAAATCTTTAATATGTTCAGCATCATCAACAATTTGCCATGCCATACTTTGAAATTTGTACTAAAAAAAGTGAAATTATCTAGTAAAGCAAGGAAGCTTATATATAGAATTGATTGTAATTATTCACAATTTGATTACTGCAAATAAGAGAAATAGATAATCTAGAACTTTTACAATGTCTAGAGCAAATACGTCTTTACTGATTATTAAAAGTAATTAAAACATCCCATATGATTATTAAAATAAATTATTAACTTCCCGTAGGGCAAGTTATAGTAATCGCAAAAAAATTGAAAATGAAAATTTTTATATATCTTTACGTTTCAAAGGTTTCTGAATATTTTGGCATATCTTAGAAAAAATGGATGTATGTGTGTGCGGATACAAATTTTCGTCAACGATTTCGGGAACACGGATCAACCGATTTGAATAATTCAAAAAACATTCGATTCGTATTAATAAGGAGACGTGCTGATTAGTTTTTGGCGAAGCCAGGTCTAGCCGTTTTGAAGATACGGGACAAAAAGTGCCAAAAACAGTAACTCAGTTTTTAAGAGACCGGAGCGTCCGATTTTAATAATTCTCTAAAAAAACATTTTACTTGTATTGACAGGATGAATAATTGATCAAATTTTCATGAAGGCAGGTCTAGCGGTTTCGGAGATCTAGTGAAAAAAAGTAAAAAAAACGCCATTAGAGATTTTAAAAATAAGCATAAATATTGTTTACATTCCTATGGGTTCCGTACCAATGTTTATCCGTTAGATGGCGACGCGGCGCTTACGCGCTTTGATATTTCGTCTCTATGCAGCTAAAGCAGTGCGATTGCTTTGAAAAAAAAGTTCAGAATTTCCAAAATATGTCAAAATAAAGAAAACATTTTTTTCAAAAAAAAAGTAATTTTTTGTCAAATTTATAGTTTCTCAAAAATCTAATTTTTTTTAAGTATAATTTTTTTCAAAAATGTTAATCGTTTTTAAAAAAATAATAATTTTTGGCACGGGAAATTCCAGCAATTTGCCTTAAGGCACGATGCCATGCGCCCCACTAGTTTTATGTTTGTGTTTCAAGTTTAAACCTATTACACAATTAATATACTAATATACACAATTAATAAAATTATTAGAAATATTTAAAAATATTAATTCATTAGCTAACAAGTATTTAAAACTTAGTATTAGTTAGCACAAAAATGATGGCCTTGAGGGCAAAAAAAATTATAAAAAAAGATAATCTATATGCTTAATTTTCAAAACAATTTACAAAATAATTTTAATTTAAATATGTTGTATTGATTGAGGCAAAATAAGATAAAACTAAATATTACAGAGCAAGTATTTGCACCCAAAAATATTTTGTATAACTATGTAAAAATATATTTTATATATAACAAGGGGCAAAATGACAACTCTGTTAACAACTATAGATAAATAAAAAGACAATTGTAAATGTTCAATAACTCAAAAATCCATTGGTTTATATTAAATATCAAAAGAATAGTAAGTACCCTGTAAAGGTTGTGAAAACTAATAAAAATAATTAATTTTGGGCAACTAATGTACATAATTTAACAATTAATGTACACAGTCAAATAAAATCACAAAAAAAACAAATGATTGATTTACAAACGCCATCTCAATAATTGACATTACATACCTATTTCTAATGAAACATAACCTCAAATAACACTACTTCAAGAAACATATGAATAAGTGCACACATTTACATTTTGCGACTAGCAATCACTTGCACACAATAATAACACTATAAAATTATCTAATTGAACATTAAAACACATGATTACATAAATAAAATAAAGTACATAATATAATATAAGTTTGAGTAATTTTAATGGCGTTTTTGACAAGACTGTACGGAGTTCATAGATGATCGGTAGCTCATACCGATTTGCAGGTAAAATTATCGGAAAGGAATACAAAGCGAACTACTACACCCTATTGAAAAGTGACGCACAGCTGTATGTTGCCAAAATCTCATTGAAATGAACAAGATGATATAATACTTGCTCTGGCAATACATTCAGATAATAAAGCAAGGTTTAATTTTCTTAAAATTTAATTATTTTTAAATTAAGATTTCTATTACGTTGGAACCAAATTCTTCGGAAAATGTTTGTAGTTGACTACATATTAACATTAGTTGAAAAGGCTGAAATTATTATTTATTAATCATGTAATGAAAAATTAATAATGAAAAAATTTTGTTTAGCATTTATATAACTTGTCATAGTTTTCAAAATTGTATTTTTATTCAAAAATATATATATATATATATATAACTAGTGGGGCGCATGGCATCGTGTTTTAAGGCAAATTGCTGGAACTTCCCGTACCATTTTTTTTTAAAGATTAACATTTTAAAAAAAACTACTCTGAAAAGAAATGAGATTTTTGAGAAACTATACATTTTTGACAAAAATTTACTTTTTATAAAAAAGAAGACTTTTTGGAGCAAAATTTATTGTGAAAAATTTTGGAAATTCTGAACTTTTTTCAAAGCAATCGTACTGCTTTAACTGCATAGAGACGAAGCGCGTAAGCGCCGCGTCGCCGCCTAACGCATAAACAATGTAAACAAAATCTATCCTTATTGTTCAAATCTCTATAAAATATCTGATAATTTGATGTGCATATGTCTAATGATCATTTTTGACCGCCAATTGGCATTTTTTTACTTTTTTTACTGGATCTCCGAAACCGCTAGACCTGCCTTCATGAAAATTTGATCAGTTCTTCATCTTGTTAATACAAGTAAAATGTTTTTTGAATTATTCAAATCGGATGCTCCATTCTCTTAAAAACTGAGTTACCGTTTTTGGCACTTTTTGCCCATATCTTCGGAACGGCTAGACCTGCCTTCGCCAAAAACTAATCAGCACGTCTCCTTATCAATACGAATCGAATGTTTTTTGAATTATTCAAATCGGTTGATCGGTGTTCTCGAAATTGTCGACAAAAATTTGTATCCGCACACACATACATCCATTTTTTCTAAGGTATGCCAAAATATTCATAAACCTTTGAAACGTAAAGATATATAAAAAATTTCATTTTCGATTTTTTTGCGATTACTATAACTTGCCCTACAGAAAGTTAATTATCAACAGAAACCGAAAATATCAATTATATCGTATTAAACAAAAATATCCGAGTTAAATATGTGGAAGAATTGTTCATTAGTTAGAGCTTTCGCACATTTTGTTATATAATTATTATAACCTATACACGTTATGCTGGTTTAATTTTTTTTATTTCTACTTTATGCAAAGAAAAAATCGATTATTAAAAAAGTGCTCTCCAGTAATTTGGGGTGGTTAGAGTTATGAGATATCAATCAGAGATCTTAGGATTGGTGTCATCAGTTTTCATTTGGAAATCTAGATGGCAATGTTTTTACGTAAAAGTGTCCCTTAACCGATATTGCTGCATCAATAAAAAATTCATCGCTTTTTCAAAAATTGTAATAACTAAAGGTGTATGGCATCGATCCTTAAGGCAAATTGCTGTAACTTTCCGTACCATAATTAAATATTTGAAAAATAAAATTTAGTTTTAAAAAATATATTTTTAGAAAATTAAACAAAAAAACTTTCGCCAAAAGCAATCGTTTCGTCAACACAAGCTGTAAGCTTTTGAATCATTCAAATCGTATGCTATGTTTTCATAGAAACTGCCATTTTTGCCATCTCCGAAACAGCTGGACTTGATTTTGCCAAAATCTAATCACCACTTCTCCCCATCATTACTAAGTGAATGTTTTTTGGATCTCTTTGAAGCTCGATTTCTATTTTCTGCACTCTTTGCTCAGTATCTCCGAATCGGCTGAGCCTGCCTTTGCCAAAAACTAATCTATTATTCACATCCATTTTTCCTAAGGTATGCCAAAATGTTCAAAAACCTTCAAAACGTGAAGATATGCAGAAATTTTCAATTTCTCGCTTAAGTGTCAATAAACGTATTGAGCAAATTTAATTTGGGGGTGGGTGGCTTCAAAATAGCAAATTCTATTTAAGAACACAATAAATAAAACTGTTTTTATTATAAGCACTTAGATTATTCGATTATATGTGATACTTTTTCAGCTACGATATTATGCTATATCCTATATTTTCGATCTATATGTTTTATTCGCTTTGGAGCCTTGTAAAAAATTCTATTAAATTTACTTGATAATAAATTAAATAAAAAGCACTTGTTCGTTGGATTTCATAATTTTCTGTTAACTTACTTATTAATTGTTAGAAAACCGGGACTATCCGAGATAAAAGATCTAAATCCGGGACAAATATCGCTTTTAGAAAAACTCAAAAAAGAAAAGATTGAAAAAAGCTTAAAAAAATAGAGTAATTTTCAGTAAATATACGATAAAAATGAAAAGGCAGCGATAAAAAAGCGTTATACATATACGAATATTTTCGAACAAATGGGAAAACTTATGGTTCCGATATTGAAGATTAAGCTGACGATTCTAATTCATCATTAAATAAAACAAAACATTTTTTTCATGGATTGAATTGTATATGATTATTGTATTGACTATTGAATTAAATTGTACATAAGTGATGGAGCTGAAATATTTAATGCTTCCAATTATAAATGATTGCAAAAATTTTGAAAATAAAGAAAAGCTTTTACTATTACTTATTCTTTTGTCAATGTCGCAATAAATGACTAAAATTATACATGTCAATTCATATAATCATTATAATCTCTTCAAAAAAACAATTTACTTCTATACCGTAAACCCCATAATTAATTTAGGTAAAATAGTAAAAGTAGTCGAAACATTTCAATATAACTAAATTTCGAAAATTTAGTTTATTTTTATACTATAAAATATTATTGGAGCCGAAAAAATGCTCAAAAGTACATCGCGATTAAAAAAAACCTTGGCAAAGAAACCACCACTCGGAAATGAATTTGGAGCCAGGAAAACTTTCAATAAGGATTTCTATTTCGATTTCCATATATTTAAATATTAATTTAGTAATCTCAAGTTTATTCGTCTGGGAACTTGATGAAACGGGACTTACAGGCATAGTAATAGGACTTATGTCATAGTCCTGTAATATTTTTAAAGACTTCGTTTTGAATATAAACTTTATACCCAAGCGAAGTTCCATTAAATTCACAGATGAATAAAAAATATTTGAATTTTTGCTGGAGATAAAATTCACTTTCAAGCTATGGTTATGGCTAGAGCCATAATAATTAGCTTTTTTGATTTTGCGTAGATTATTATAAGAATCTGCATTTATAAACAAATTTAAATTACTCAAAACAAATTTCACTTTGAAATGATATCTTTAAGCTTTGGATGAGTTTTTGGATGAGAAACTTTGATGAGTTATAAAGATAAATATATGCAAAGCGTACATAAAATAACAGTTAGAAATATTAGAAAAAATCATTAGAAATTTACCATAAAAAGTATTTTTTCTGACAAAGCTAAGTTGTTAAATTAAAGTAGACATGATGAACGAGCACGTTGTTTATATAACAAAAACGTATGAATCAGCTTTCTTCAAAAATATTAAACATTATCAGTCTATTTACGCACAACTTAAAATAAAATGAATCATAAAAAATGTGATAAAAATGCAACAATAAATTTGTATGAAAAATGAATGAAAGTGTATGTAAAGTAAATGAAAATAGTTAAAAGTAATAAAGCAAATAAGTTCCTGAATATATTAAACTTAAATAGGAACTCAGATATTATAAATCAATGAGATTAATTAATACTCATCTCGCTATAAATCTTTTCTAGAATTTCAGGATTATTTTACCTAGAGATCTTATCGAAAAGCATAAGTTTAATTACTTATTTTTTCACCATAGTAAGTTTCATCAAAATCCCAGAAGAATAAATACGAGGTTCTCCTTGTAAGTACAAAATGCACATCAAAACTAACAATATGTGAAATACTAATAAGACCAAATAAATATATAACGTAAAAATCGAATTTGTAGCAGTATTTTTATTATAAGGTTATGAATGTAATACATCAACAGAAATGAATCATGAGTCATTAAAAACACACTTTGATTAACTCTTTTCTTTTATTATAAAAAGGTAAAAACTATTCATGTAAGCAAATTGATATTAACGCATTACATTATATTTAATAATTTAAGTTACAACAGTTTTTTTTTAAGTTAATAATTATATATATGTATCGTGTTTTTATTTTTAAACTTAATGATTTTGTGCACTGATCGGCCAAATATAATTTCAAGTTTTGGACAAAATAATTTAATTGAAAAAAAAAGATAAAAATGTTTAAAATAATCAAAATAGTATTATTTATCCTTTCGTCGTCGAAATAGAGTTTATTAAAGAAAGAACATGAAATTATAGTTAGATAGAGTTAGATGTAAAAAATTAACTACCTTTTAAAACTTAAAATACTTTCATCCTAATCGTATTCTTCTAGATAAGATAAGTGGATTTTAAATTTATTATGGAATATACTTTGAGCAATTATTTAAAATATTTCATAAATTCGTAAAGAAACCATATAAAGTATTATACATCGTTTCTTCATATATCGAAAATTCGTATTCTAATAAGTAAATCTTAAGTAAAATTGAGAAATCTCAAAATAATTAAAAAATATCCTTTATTCGTAAACTTACTCTGGATCTGGTTTCCGAACAAAGTTTTCATGCAAGTCTTGAAGTATATTGTTAACCCTCCGTCGGTCGGCGTGGTGGCCAGACTTTTTTCGACTTTAATTAAAAAAAAAAATACTTCTAGTATCCTATCGACTTAAATTTCTTGACTTTTCCTAAAATTTCATTAGCTGTCGATCAATGAAAAAATCAGGACGAAAAAAAATGTACAGAAGGATATTATAAGGATATTAACTTT